TGAAATTAATACACATTTGCTGGACACAGAAAAATAATTGAAAGGACAATTGTTCTCATTCATATGTAAATGTCATTAGGCTCTTTCAAGAGAGAACAATGTATTTTTCACAGATTTCCAAGTTGAGGGCAGTGGGAATAAGGAGAAGTGCTCTGTATCCCAACAACTGTGATAACTGGGAATGGTATTTTTATTCCAAAGGATGTTTTATATGGCTAATAAACATAACATGCATATTAGCACTACAACACATCATATCATTTAACAGCTTTATTGGAGTGGCAAGTGTCCCACTCGCACACAGAGCAAGTGCATCTGCCACTAGGAGCAGACACTGCCACCAGCAAGTTACCAAAAAAAGTTCAATATACGGTTAGAAGTTGTGAAAACTTAGATGCAATTTCATAAAAGACAGCTAAGAAATGCAGCAAACAACCTTCAGTTGCCAGCACTGAAGCCTGAGCCCGGTGGAACCTTGTGAACATGCACAAATCACACAGATTTCAAAGGCATTTAGTAAAATCTGAATATTACAGTAGATACTACTCAAAAACTTCACATAATTCTTCAGCATAATGCTGAGCCCAGTGAATGAGCCTGAACACACTGAGTCAACACCACTTTTCCTCCCCAGTGTTACTCCTCTTTATGTTGTGTTTCAGCAGCTACTGAACTTTTTAAACTTATTTTTCAGGATCTCCTAAACCAGCCACTAAAACTGCACTCCTGCCTTCCTTTCACCAGTGCAGCATGTAGCCACAACAGTGTACAGCACTTTTTACAGTCAGTGTCTTTTCTCCCTTAAAAATCAGGGTCTACACATGTGAAAAAAAATTAAAATTAAAAAAAAAAAATCAAACTTTCTTCCTCTTTTTTTTTTTTTTAAAGGGAGAGACACTTTGAGGCAGAGATTAATCATGCAGCAAAAGATTAATTCCCAGCTGCTTGGCAACCATCTGGACATTCTACTGGTTAAAACACTAGTTTGAATTGCTAACCTACCCCTTTGATCTTTCTCAATGTCTCCAGCCCATATGTGCAATAATTAAAGACATAGTTCACAAACTATTGCAAAAAAAAAAATAAATAAAGAACAGTACATGTACATATATATATTTATCTCCATAACCAGCCTGACTGGTATCAGGAATTATAAATCACCAGGCAGTTCAAGAAAACATGTCTCATCCTGACATACACTGGATGTCTCACACCAGTCTGGCAATAAAATAAGGTTTGGGTTTTATTACATTACATTCTGAAGAGTTATCAAAGCAAGCCAGGATGTGACTTCCTCACATGGAAGACAGCGGACAACTTGCACGTGGGGTTTTTTTTGGGGGGGGAACAGGACATTAATCAGCCAGGAATCATGTTAACAGGAGTCAGGGTTGCTGTGATTTTAAACATGAACTAACAGATCCCTGCTCAACGATTACTCGGTGGTGAGAATCAGTTTAGAAGTGGATTCCTCCTATAAATCAGGCGAGGCACTCAAAACAGACACCGGGGTTGTGGAGAAAAGGAGGAAAATCAGATGAACCAGAGAATATTCAACGCCACAGTACACAGTGCTTGGAGTATTTTGGAGGGGAAGTAAAACAGTTTAACAAGAACATTCACCAGAATTAAAAACCTTGACAGTTTTTACCCCTTGGAAATCAGTGCGATGTTTATGAGCTCAAGAGTGACTTGGACAGCTCCAGGTGAACAGGATGACAAGAAATGGGGGAGAAGAAAGGAAGAGAAGTGGGAGAACAGAGAATTGCTCATCATCATCTTCCAATTGCAGGGACTGTTGTCTTTAAGTGTTCCTTTTCTTCTCCTAAAACCCCACCATGATGACACCAGCAGGTGTTATTCACCCTCCCTCCCAACTCCTACAACTTTCTCTCCTCTACATTCTCTGAATGGCCCCTCTTGGGGAAAATCTCTATCCCAGCCCTTATGCAATTTTCTCCCTTTCAATTTATAATCTCTTACCAGATAAGTGAGAAGCCCAGTAAATCCACTGCTTTCAACACCTTAAATTCAGAGCACTTTCAGCCAGACCAGGACTAACCTATAACACCATCAGTGCAGATTTTATCTTAACATAAATATATCACTCCATCCCAACACTTTTGGTGCAGTAAAACCACGGTGATCTTGATGATCTTTATAAACAAAATTGGGGTCACGCAGCAAATGGGAGTGCTCATTCCCAAAGTAAAAGGAGAAAAACTTAACTCGAGATTACAGAGATAAAGGTTCTAAACAGCTTTTTTAAAAGGCTGCATCTTAAAGATCAGACTTCTTGAATACATAAAGGCCCAAAAATGTTTTCATCTTACTTCTGGTTCTTAATCCACAAAGATGAATTTTCAGTGGGGAGGGAAACTCTTTGCACTGTGTGTTATCCTACACACAGAACATCTCCCCTTTTCCCAGGCATGTTTTCCCTCTTCATTCCTCACTCCATGAAAACTGGTGGGAGTCATCCTGCAGGTACTCTGTGTTCTCCCAAAAACTCACCCAGAATTCCTCCTCCCCTCAGTTGCACAACCCTTTAGTCTGGACTAATTTAGTACACAAGAGGCTGGAAAAGAAGCCGTCCAAAGACATCTTCACTGGATTCCCAAAAATCAAACCAGAAGTGACAGGAGCACAGTGATAAGTCAACAAAAACATTGGAAACACTCAAGTGTTCCCAGTTAACCCAGAGAAGTAAAGCTTCATAAGAGAGTTATTGCACAAAGCACTGAGCTTGCCAAAAATTAAATTAATTAAGAGGTGGTATACAGCTCAGGACAAATTTACTCCAGGTATTCATTACAACCTGCAGTTTAAAATAATGAGAAGTTAAAATTCTTTCCAATATTCCTCAGATGTGTTTAGGTTTCATTTGTTGAGATAAGATAAATAATTGTCTTTGCTTACAAAAAATAAACATGAAGGAAATTGAGGGAAAAAAATGCTAAGAAAAATTAAGATTGATAAAATTAAGATTGATAAAAAGAGTCCTCTTTAAGAAAGAGGACTTCCTTAAAGGAACACCAAAACTTCTTTAAAGGATACATCAGATAAAATAGTGATTTGGGAAAGGTCAGCAAAACCACGTTTTATTAACACAGTTCATTTTATTTTCTCAACCCAGCAGAATTCTGTATCTTAGCAGTGGAACGGGATCTGTTTTTCTGAAAAAATTCCAAATCAGACCTTTCCCTTTCCCCTCCTCTGGGTGACACTCAGGATGGCCAGAGGTGAAGTTCCAAGGGACACTTTTTTCCCTTTGCACCAAGACAAGCCCCCACCATCTGTGGTGCTTTGCTGTCCTGCAAAGGGATCTATTCCCGTTGTGTTGCATCCTCCTGGTTTTTCAGTAATGACCATTTCCCAAACGGTTTCATCCACGTCAGAAGGATTTGGGGAGGAGATGACTAAAAGCCTGATGCTGTTGCAGCTTTCCCAGGGCTGTGATGTGGTTATCACTGCACAGGGCCATGTGTTCAGCATTACAGAGTCTAAACAGGTGCAGGAATGGTTTATGAACAAAGGTCTAAAGGTTAAAAGCAAAAAAAACCCCAAAAAACCACCACAGTTATCCTATTTTATGTTCTCCTGTTGTACTACAAAGAGGTTGAGAACAGTTAAAGGTTTCCCCCAGCTCTTTTGCACAGCTCCACTTTCCTGTTAATGCATCTCCATTCTGTAAATGAAAAGGCTTTATTCTTAATTGAGCTTCACAAACAAAATAAGATGAAAACACATTTAAGTTTTCTAGTTAATAGCACACACATGGTGATTGGGAAACACTGTCTGCAACCTTTCCAGTTCAAACCAGCACCATTAGCAAGAAGTCCTGGATTTTTACTGTGTGGTTTAGAGGATTTTTCCACTGAACCAGCAAAGTATTAACTGGGTATTTTATGTAGCTCCTTGGCATGCACTCCTGTTTATTTAATTTGAAAATATTGTTTAAATGACAACATTGTGCTTTCAATTTATTTATTTTCTGGGCTTTTTTCACATCTTATGAAACCCTGCCTCATCCTGGGGCACTGGTGCTCTGAATATTGTCAGTGCAAAAGAACAGGCAATGTTAGAGCAGAGAAAGTGAAAATATTGTGCAACTGCTCATTTGAGCATCCAACAAGGCTGCCAGGTAGCAATCATTTCATGTACATTATTTTATTAACAATGGAAGCAAATCAAATTCACCCTCTCCTGTATCTCTGCTAAAGGTACCTTCTGAAGTGTCTCAAAATTAACTTTTGGACAATCCCAATTCATAAGTGTTGAATTTGGGGGTTTGTTGATTGTGTTGGTTTTTTTTTTAATGACTGGTTGGTTGGGTTTGGGCTTTTATTAATTGTTTTCCTAATGCATGTTGAGATGTTGAGTTTCCTTTCCTGCCCATTAATTCATTGTCTTTCAAAAAATGTTTAAATTAAATAAATTAAATAAATTAAGTAGTTTTTAACAAAGTATCATAGGCAATCGACTTCCTTAAGTCATGAAAAAGGTGAAAATGACCACAAGATTTAACTTCTACATACATTTAAAGCAAAAAAAATATGTGTGAGAGACTTAGACAGACAAGCTTTGACAGAAATCTCCCCAATTTACAATGTTCCAAAGAAGTAAAGTAAAAAACCCTGGGAATAAAAGAGGATTGGAGCTCAATGAGGCAAATATAGAAATAATATAGGTCCTAACAGAAATAAGGTCAGGGTCTGCAGATTTTTAAAGGTATATAGAAACTAAATAAAAATCTCACTAAATCCAGGGTTTCACTGCTTGTGCTAAAAGGCAGTTTGGAAAATTCCTAGAATTCAAACTTTTCTATGTGTTCAGAAAGTCTTTTTTACTCCCTAATTGGGAAATACATTAAGTAGTTAATGAAAAGCCCTGCCACTTGAGCAAAAATTCTCTTCCATGAGATTTTTTGCTGCTATAACAAACTCTTTTAAATGCCCAATTTCCCAAGAAGATGCCCCAAAGATTCCAAGGAGTCTCACCTCTCTCTCCTGTGCTCGAAGCAGCACCTGCTGGTCATAAGAAGGCCTTTTCCCTGGGACAATTTTAGGTGTCATCTATTGAATGAGAAAGAGTTCAAAACAACTCATTAAGCTAAAAACAGCAACTCCAAGTAAAATCAGCCCTGACCAGAAATTCAAAAGTACAGAAAGTGTTTGTTTGCTTGCCTTTATGAAACTTAAAAGGGAATATAAACACCTACCAAAGACCTTGGCACGGGTTTTTCTCGCAAATATCTTGGGTTTTCTACCTGAAAAAGGAGTCAGAGAAAAAGAGTCATCATGGCAACAGTGTCTTGTGTCTTCCAAACAGTGAGACATCACAACTGCACTCACACAGCAACTGCACCACTCAAAAGCAGCACAGGAGAGATTTCAATGTGCCTTAAGTGTTATAGGAATAGGAAAGTTTCCTAAGAGATCACTTGGATCACTTTTCCCCCCCATAAGCTACAGACATGGTTTATGCAAAAAACGATTTCCAACTTTACTGGATACATTTTCCTTGAAATCAGTGTAAAGCTACCAAAAGTTTACCAATTACACTGATTAAAATCTAGTGTTTTTTTAAAAGTTACAGTTGGGGGCATTGAAACAACTGCCACACATGTAAGTCATAGTGACAAAACATGAGGAAATAATTCGTTAGCGTGACTGTATAATTAAAGCAGCTCTTAATCACTGTTTTTAAGAACTGAACACCATTGTACCCAACCCACTTCCTCTATCACACAGCTCTATCTTCCTCAAACATCACATCACAGACATGCCCAAAAAAAGAAAAAGCTTTCAAGGGTATAACCTTGTAAAATGCAGCACTGAGATCTGGAATATGAATGTGATTGCAATACACATTAAAAAAAAAGAGACTAAATGTTGTAAGATCAGGTTGATCTACGAGGCATGGCAAGTGTATCAAATGCCTGTGCTTTCTCCAGTGCTATTAAATAGGTTTGTGTGCTGAATTTATCAGTGAAAAAGAGGCTTAATCCCTCTGAAATTTCAATTTGATACAGTGCTATTCATTTCCTGTCCTAAAAGGTTATGTAGGATTTCTACATGATGGGGAAGAGTTGTCATATTTCACCCAGTGGTTGTAGAGATTCATGTTTGACACAAATTCCATTTCAATGAATTATTATCTATTGTTTTAACACTACAGCTCAAAGTATTAAAAAACCCCAGTAATTCAGCAAATAATCTATTTATCTTTATTGTCAATGAGTTCACTACAGTTACATTAAACTTTCTCCCATACAGATTCCATCAGGGAGTGAAGGAATCCTGCCTGCACCTAATGCCACAAAAATTCAGAATTTTGGACACAGAAGAGATTGGTGAGGAGAAGAACAGAGGAGTGAGATCAACATGGAGCATTAATCACAGTGAAGGGGAAAAGAAAAGAGATATGGAAATAAAAATACAAAAATTTTAAACTAAGAATTTTGGTGTCATATACACTTGCACCTGCATTTTATGAGTATTAAACTCTTCCTTCCACCTCACTTGGGCTATTTCCCCACCCAGCCCACACACCTGAGCATCCCCTGGCAGGTACCCAGGGCTGAAGGTGCTCCAGAAGTTCAAGGTACACCCCAATACGGGGTGTACATCCCAGAAATCTGAGCACCAGGAACCAGGGGAAGCCTTTCCCAATACCTGGAGGAACTCTGAGAAGGATGCAGAGCCACATTTCAAAAGGTTTCATTATTTCCTAAAAGTCCTCTCTTTCACACAATACAATCTCCCCCTTTACTTTTGCTTTTTAAAAGCTAAAAATCATCATAAATATTCACAATTAATCCAAATCCTTTATCTGGCCATGACATTAAGCTGTTTGCAGTCTTCAAAACCCATCTAAAAAGCTAAGGTAGAACCTTCTTGTTTGTGAGAAGGAAGGAAAATGTGTCTCTAATACTTTGCACAGCCCAAGTCTTGCATTTTTTGATTTTGTAACAGCAGCCATATGTGCTTTGAAGTTAAATGTTCCCACTTTGTTACTTGTTGTGGATTATATCCACTTAAACTGATCTGTAAACATTTAATGCCTCAGCACTCATTCTTTTCATGCTGGTCTTCTGCAAAAACTTCTTGTTCTCAAAATGAGACCACATTAAAGAGGGAATAATCACAATAAAGAATGTCCAAAAAAGGGAGAAAAAAAAAAAGCCTGTATTTATGAGAAACATGCAAATTTTAAAATAATAAGCAAAAGGTCAAAGACAAGCCAAAATACATATGTATGAAACTAAAGGACTGCCATGAGAAGAACAGTAAATCACGGGCTTTTTTAAGAGCAGGAACCAAATAAATGTCATCATGAAAGACATCTTCATTTGAACTAGCATTGAACTCTAATTTGTAAATGCCACTTCTTAATAAAAATGGCATTTTGAATTTCTTTGTGGAAAACATTTTGGATTCCCCCTCCTCTATTACTGGGCAGTCAGACAAGAAACCACATTTCCATTTGTGAGGACTGACTGCTGGTACTTGAGTCCTCCTAAGCCAGAGCTGTGAAGGTGTTGGGTGACCAGGTCCCCATCACTTCACAGAAATAATCTACTTCATGAAAACATACTTATTTTCCTAAGCTGGAAAAAAAAAAAAAGGTAGAAATGTGAATAAAAACACAACTCCAAAACAATTCCAATTTGAGGCAAGTCAGTCGTGTTTTTTAACTTAGTATTTTCAATTTCTATTTATTTAACAATCCCTAAAGTGGTCAAAACTAAGCACTTTTTGAAGTCTACCACAAAGGCACCTATGCAAGCAATGAGTGAAGCACTTATAAAAGTAAATTGATATAAAACTGTTTTCCCCCAAAACCAGGGGCAGTGCAGGAAAAGCACAATTTTGAGCTCTAAGTACTTCCACAAGATTCATCCTCAGGACCTCATCAGTATTTCATCTCTCAGGCTGAAAACACTGCCCAGGCTTCATATCTGGGCACTAATCACAGCCCAGAAATTTACAGCAAATGCTCAGTAAATAACACAATAACGACAACATTAATGTCACAGTTCCATCCCACCCCTCCAAAATCCCATTTCATTCTTTGGAAGATGATTATCAAGGTCTAGTTACGTTCAGTAAAGCACAACTGGAGCTTATTTCAGCTCAGTCACAGAGGCAGAAGGTACATTGGGTATATTAAAGATGCAGGGAACAAACCCCCCACATTTGGATCAGCGGCCTTGCTGCACATCCCCCCTTGAGCTTCTTCAAAGACAAAATGGGACTGTTTTCAAAACAAGGACGGCAAAAACACACATGAAAGAGTTAAGAACACTTAAGACTTTGAAATGGTAAACAACTAAACTGAACCTTGCCCTAAATTCTTACTTTAATCTAACAAACCCAGCCAGCATGTTCCCCACAGAAATAACTGCTGAGTAGCTTCAGGAAATTTGAGTAAGGACATTCTTATCTAACATCATAATTTGCAGGGAAGTTCACTTTAATGCTGCTTCTGCAGTCTTAGTGGAAGGACATTAAAGCAGATGAAGATTGTTTGTCAGCATGGAAGTTGAATTGATTTTTTTGAAGTCACAACACCACTTGGAGTTCACTGTGGGAAAGTTTTTCCAGTGTTGCTGCCCTCCAACACCACAACATATACAGTAGGTATGTTTATAGTAAGCAGACAGGCTGAGAAACCAAACAAAAGATAATCAAATGGTTTGCACAGAAATGGCTGAGCTTAACTAGGCTGGAAAGGCACAGGCAGATGTGTGCCAAGTCCACGGAGCAGGAACAGCCTCCTCTGCTGCTGCAGCCACCCAGGAATTCCCAACGCTTCCATCTGCTCTAACCCTGTGTTACATCCTCTCTCCAAGGAAGGAGAACATCATGCAAACCTGACAGCAGAATTTCTTTGGTCTCAGTCCTCCTAACCCCTTCTTACATTTCCCATGGTAAATCCTTCCAGGCAAGACCTGATGTCCAGGTTCTTTGTGCTGCACATCCCACATCAACTTCTGGTTAAAAGCTAAAAAAGAGTTAAATTCTTGTGCTGGCTGAACTCCAGTGATGAAAACTCATGTTCTCCCTGATTAAAAAAAACCCTTTGCTATTTCCCCAGGGTACAGTCTCTTTGTATGCTTTCTACCTAAAATGATGTGCTGAATTTCCTGGGCTGTTTGAAAGACTTGCTTTGTCACACCTCAAATTGGTTACAATTCAGTGACAAATCAAACTGCATCAGAAGCACCATGAAATAGGGAAAGAGAGAGGCAGACAGAGAGGTAGGTCAGGTGAGAATTTGCAGGGATTTAATTCATTGATGGTCCTTTACATAACTTCAACTTTTCATCTAAAAATACGATTCTCTGCAATCTCAAAAGCTCAGCTACAAGAGGAAAAAAAACAGGAAAGGAAGAAAGGTAGTTTAATTCCATTATCCAAAAAGCTTTTTTTCCTGACTCTATATAAACACATTTCACAATATTTAATTAATTTTTGAGGCAAACAGGAGATGGTCACCTTCCCTTTAGTTATGAGTGTACTAGATTTGCAACATCATTGACAGCTGTTAATAAAATAAAATCACTGAATCACAAAATGGATTGGGTTGGGACAGAGCTTAAAGCTCATCTTGTTCCAATCCCCTGCCATGGGCAGGGACACCTCCCACTAGCCCAGGTTACTTTTATTATGTAATAATATAAAGATGGACAAAGGAGGTTTTTTTTAAAAAATATTTACTCATGCATGACTAGAATATAAATAACTTGAACAATAAAATGCTTGATAATGATAATCAGGAATGTTGCGAGGGAAAGGCAAAAATTCTTTGATTGCTCGTGAGAAGCAACAATGTGAGCAAAGTAATGCAACAGCCTCAATGTCCTGCAGAAAATGTTATTGCTAACAACACATAACAGTGTGTTAAGCTTTGACCTCTCTGCTTAGTAGAGAAATCATGAAAGTATTTCCCAAAAGTTAGAGTATTTTTAGTAATGCTAATAATAAAAAAAAAATCTCAGCCACTGATTTGGACATATCACAAACACTGACAACACATCCACTCTGTGACCTTAAAAACACCAGAGCTTTGAAGAAGAGGAAATTCAGAATATAGGAAAGAAGCAGGAGATCAAAAGATAACAGTAAAAGTAAATTAACAGTTTATAACTGGTCATTATAATCCAGCCAGACTGGAAGAGTGAAGGTTCAACAGTAACTTGCAGCTGGAAGACACCAAGGTTGTCTAATCAATATGTAGAGAGCACTTAGATAGGATTCCTGAACAAAAGCAGAATCTCCATATAAACTTGCTTGAAATAATCACAGTTTCCTAAAAATCACCAAGATTCTTACTGAGAAAAATGTATAACCAAAAAACCCAAGCAAAGTTAGCAAAGCTTTTTCAAAACAGCTGTTCTTTACACTGGGCAGCTCAAAGCAAAAGCCATTCTGTATTTCCTTTCCTACCTTCCCCACTACAGAACTGTTCTTTTGGGTCAAGGGTCTTCTGTATCTCAGGTGGGATCACTTGTAAATTAAGTTTCCTGAACAGTTTGCAGATGGGACTGGCAATTAAAGGGGAGCTGGATGCTCCCATGACATTGTAAAGGCTCACAAATAACAGCAGCCACATCTGACACTCAAACCTTCCAGATTCCAAGGATCTGCAGTCATTTAGTGAGATTTTTATTTCATTTTCAGCAATGACATGTTCTTCTTTAAGTGTGACACTCAACTTAAAACTTCCTGACCCTTTCAGAAGCCACTCAAGGCCGTGATCCACAGCAGGGAAACACTCTGGAGCAGCAACCCCTCACAGACCTCTCTTTTACAACCTCAAATCCTCTTTGTCAGGTAACTCCCAACAAGTCTTATCAGGCAATCAAAGTCTCTCAGGAGCGACTTGTTTAATTACCATCCCTGGAGAGGAGACTTGAAAACCTGATTTATGTGTCACAGTAGCCAATTTGTTATCCAGGAGAGCTCCTGTATCAGCAGAGGATCATCACACTTTAATAACCATCCGTTATCAACACAACATGATTGCAAACTGGAATTTCAATTAGGAAAAAGAAATAAAATACAAATAAAATTACAGAGATAAGCAAGCAGGCAGATCAACACTGATAGGAAAGCGTTGGATAGAGATTCTTTGTCAGCATCAGTTGGAACAATTTGTAAGATGGCCATGAGCAAGTTTTCCCCCCCTTAAAGCAGCTTTAAAAGCTCAAGGTATTACAGTTATCTGCTCCTATAATCCAGGTATTTATGCAGCCCAAAATATCCAAAACCTACAAGTGACTGCTTGCACCTTTGTTTCAGACACCTGTATGGAACTCTGGCAAGTTGGAGCTGCTGCTACTGAAAAAAATCTTTGGGAGGATCCACTTTCCCCACTTTAGAAAGCTACAATTCCTGCAAAATACACTGATCTAAGTCTGGAAGTGCTAGAAATGGTTCTTGTGTCACCCTCTAAAAGACAAGTCATCAAGAAACAGTCTTTCAGAAATTTCTACCAGATACTTGGTTTTGACCACTCGCCTGATTCATCAGTAACCTTATTAAATACAGTAAGTTTATTATAACTTAAAAATGAGGCATTTTTGATGTTTTCTTCTCAGGATGACATGTTTTCATTAATAACCATTCCAAGCTTCAGCCAATTCATTTCTAAAAGACTGACTCCCACACCAGTTTTGTTGACTAAGCTCAGAGATGCAGATTACATTAATAAGGAGCTTGCATTTTAAGTTAATAAATAAGGAATGCACTCAGTTTGCTTTACCCCAAGATTCCAACTATTGAGACGAGCTTCGAGGTCATTGTCATCCAGAGTTTTGTCTTGATGATCATCCTGGAACAGAAAAGTCAAAATATCAGAAGAACTGGTGGATACATAACTTAAAATAAAGCTTCTCTTGGGCTTGGCCATTCCTACACTGCATTTCCTAAGAGTGGCACAATATCTCTGGCAGCTTTAATCTAAATAGCTCAGTTACCAGAAGAAAGGAATTCTGAGGATAAATTAGCCCAGATCTTCACTTTATAGTGTTCTTCTTTACTTACTCTGATCTCCTTTACAGAGGGTAAATTTACTAAACAAAAATCAAAACACTCCATATTCTAAAAATGATTCCTCTCTCCACAGTAACCACTGTAGGGTCAATCCAGAATTCAGAGGTCACCTGATCAGCTTCCAAAGAAAAAAAAAAATTAAAAATTAAAGGAAAGCACAGCAGGGCAGTGACAGCTATCAAAGCAGAGCTGCTGCCCAGCTCAAGGCTGAGGGTCCCCTCCACAGAAAGGATTTCCAGCATCCAAACAGGACTGGGGTTACTGTTGCTCCAGGAATTGACAAGGAATATTTCTCTAAGTAAAATAAACAGGAAACCAATAACGAGAAATTTAGTAAATCTAGCCTGTGGTTTTATCTTTAATCATGGTATTTCTGTTTCTAAATTATATTTGTATATATACAATCAACACACACATAAATACATTCATACCAATCAGACCCTAGGGCAGAGACCTTATTTTTGCCCACTGACCACCTGCAACCTGTCACGACAAACCATGATCCCCTTGCTAATCCTCTATTCCAGACGCTCAACAGAACACAAATCTCCTCAGAACACTTCCAATTTATCCCACTTGGACTTCATGTCCTCCTAAATTCTTGGCTGTGCCCAGCAAGGAAGGGAAGAGCAGTCTGGATGAATTCCTCAGGTGGCAACAGCCCTCTCCCAGCTGCAGTCTCTGTAAACTGTTCCCCTGATATAATCAAAAGAGAATTATGGGCAGACCTCAACAGGTTCATAGAGCAAATTCAGTGTTCCATGGAGGGATGAGAGTTGTCGTAGACGTGGTGAAAGCCACGTTTGTGAAGGCAAACAGCACATTTCTTGGTAACAGATATTTGTCAGGGGCAATTTTCAGTGTAAATGCCTGCAGTTACACACACACAACATCACTTAATATTTTGGACTGCACAGGTTTTCCATGAAGCCTGTTCAATGTCCTTTCACCAGCCATAACGCTCCTTGTGGAAAGTCTGAGGAAACAAACTGTCCAAAATTCACCCCTCCAGAGGTCAACCACCACTAAACAGAGCCAGAGGCATCTATGCAGCTTTCTTTAATCTATGATTGCAAAATACAAGGTGATGTCAGCACAGGCACGTTGCCAAGCCCAGGGAAAACAAAGCACCAAACACACCAAACAACTGGGTCAACAACTGGGATGAACTGGGAGCATCCCCCAAGGAATTCCTTCCCCCTGCACTGCACAGGGCAGATTTTGGGGAGCTTCAGTCCCTGTCTGCAGCTTTACACAGGGATCACGACCCACCCAACTGAAAAAACAGCTTTACAGGGATGTGTAAAACCAACTCATGGAAAATAGAGGGAGTTCTGTGGAAAAAAGGAGAAGGATCTTACAGACAGTGACGTGCCCAGGTCATTGTCCCCTGTCCTCCGAAGATAATGGGATACATCTGATGGCTTCTCATTGGGTCTTTCCCTGTTATTAACAACAACAGTAAGCAGAGAGAGAAAAATTCATTTTCAACGATTTGTGGCACACAGAGAACGTTAATCATACAGCAGAATCTTCTAAAATACACATGAGAAAATAATTGTGAGGATATATTGATCAAAAAAAGGAGAAAAAGAGAAAATTTGTCAAAGGCAAACAAAAGCTTTAAAAATACACCACCAAAAAAAAAAAAACATGCCAACAGAAACACCAGAAATATTCTGTACATGATGGTACATCAAAAAGCATTCATTGCTTTTCTTCTACTACATGACCCAACATCACACAATGGATTTTAGAATAAATCCAAGTTAACCAGAAAGACTGATCTAGAAGGATGTTTTGAAGCAGCAGAGCAGTGGACAGGGATTTTCTGGAAAAGCTTTTGCCATAAATAAAACACTTCAACAAACAGAAATTAAGAATAGCAGGTGAAGAGAATTGTCCCTGATGCACCTGGTCAACAGATATTTATCAACCACAGAACAGTGGGAAAAAAAAGAACAAAATAAAATAAAAGTTATAGGCATTTAATTGGATAGGTTGATACAGCAAACGATCCAAAACAGCAGCAAAACACCCTTCAGCATAAACTCCACTGTCAAGTCCAGGTATTAAGGTAACTAAGAACTCCTGGTAGTCCCTTCACCTTCCCATGACTAGTTATATTACATTAAAATCAAATCAGACCATTAAAATACCTTCCTTTCCATCTGGCAGCAAAGGAGATGGTTGTTATGCCAAAGAGACTCTGAGATGAATTAAGTGTTTATGAACAGAACAACAACAGTTGGATGTACAATATAAACGAGTCACTTCTAGGAAGACAAACACAAAGTTTGCACAAAGCACAGGGCCCCAGCTTTCATCAAAACAGCAGGGAACAGAGAAATACAACAACTGGGAGCAAACCAGCCCTTCCAGCACCAATAAATCCCACATAAACAACATGTATGGATGCATAATAACCATTACAAAGCTCTAAATAGTTTAGATAAGCAGAGTCTTAGAGGTAAAAAGGATCAAAAGAAATGTAATAATACAATGCCTCTCGCATTTCTCACCAAGATTTCATTTGACACAATTACCTTTCATTAAAAGGAGATAAATCTCTGCCTGTCAGTAAATCTGCACTTCTATCAGATTTGTTTTCTGAGCAATGCTCAGGTTAAACAATTCAATAGTGTTCCAATTGTTAAAAATGAGAGAAAACAGAATTCATGCCCTTATCATTCAGAGATTAAGGAATGTCAACAAATATGCAAACCAAGCCAAGTCACCTGTAATACTCTTAATTTGACAAAAAGGAGAAAAAAGGTTTAGATAGATTTTAGTTCTGTATTTGCTGTTTGGAAGAGGAACTGCAAAGGAAGCTGCTTTATTTGGTTCTATAAACAGAATTTGAAATTGTTGTGGGTGGACCACAATCTTGCTCCTCTCAAGCTTATTTCTGCCCATTCACTCCCTTTTCCAGCCTTCTGCTAACACAAGTCAGGGTCCAAAAAAATCCCAGCGTTGTTTCTTTTCCCTCTCAGGGCAGGTGAGTGAGGAATGGTCAGAGTCTTGACATCAGCTCTCTGACCCTCCTGCTTCAGCCACAACACTGAGAATGGGAGAAGGAAGCAATTTGCTGCTAATAAAGGAGATTAGTAAATAATAACCTAGTGGGAGCAAAGCGAGGCAAAAACTCACTGGTTCCTCCTGGTCCAGCTCCACACTAACCTTGAACAGTGTTTTTCAGGCACAGCCTCTAAACATACAGTAGAATTTTCCTGTGGGGTCAAAAAGCCCAGGTTTGTGTTCAACATTCCTCAAACCAACCCTCTCATGTTTCAAAACAAAGCTGCACCTTGCCAGCACCAGCTGCCTTGGGCTTGCTCAACCACCCCCCAGCTTGCAAGTAAGGTTTGTCTACCTCCTTTTCATTTAGGCAGGGAAAAAACAACTTCATATAGAAAAGCCAAGATTGCCAGACACGGAATCATTTGTATTGCAAGATAAAAATCGCTATGAAAAGAACTTCTCTGTTTGGGCCTTTGAAAGGGGAGAATCTTGAGATAAACAACATCAAGTAGTTACTCAAACATGTCTCACTGACATTATCTATTTTGCCCTGAGAAAGCGTTGTAAGAACGGAGTCGTGCCTGGAATGCAAAATTTTCGTCCAGCTACACCTATTCCATGCCCATGGATCCAGTTTTCCCAACGCACATTCCGAGGAGAGAGACAAATAGAGTGGAACTCGATCACCATCTGCTGGCTCTCCCTACAAACTGCACATCCCAGAAATATTTATTATATATTCCATCTTTACCCGCACTGATAACTCGTTCAAAGCTGTAAACACAAAGAAAAACAGGATCTCCATGTTGGATATAGGTAATGTCTACATAGTCACACGTAAATAGGTATTAAATAAGCTACAAAACACAACAGCTGAAGCATTTACCCTCAATATTTTTCCTGCAGAACTCACAAGAAAATTAGTTTCTCATTGCTCTGAAGACTAATTCATGTAATCTACAGAACCATCAAAATTTGCCAACACAAATTCAGATTTCCTCAGACACAGCCCCAGTCTTGGTTGGAGCACCCATTAGCAGAGCTGAGCCTATACAGCAGAGTTTCACTTCCAGAGTCCTTTAAACCAGAAACTTCATTCCACCACATTTACTTGCTTGTCCTGGCATGGAATTGTATACAAGCCACATCTCCAGAGAACTCACCAGAGCCTTGGGAACCACTGATCACCAATTTGGGTACTGCTTCATTTCCACAGGACAAAAATTAAGAAGCAGATGAAATAAAGCTCCACTACCTCACCCAAAACTTCAGGAACTTTGCCAGACCAAGATGAATCTTAGGTTCAGACACTGAGAGGGAAAAGGGGACAGATGCACAATATTCTACTATAAACTAAGTGGGAAAGAGAGAAAAAGTAAGACAAAGAATACAGGGGAGGGAGTAGGTGGAACTGGACCTCAGCTTTCCTCAAATGGGGACCAGCACCAGTCAGATACAGAGGGAGGAACATGCAAGTAACACCTCAGCTGGCAGCATGTAAGGAGTTAGGAGTAATTAGGTGTATTTTTATGCCACAAACATGGCCTTGGAGAGAGATCAATATGCTAAATTGGGCCTAATAGGGCAGAGTTGTGCTGACATTGTTTTGCTGCTTTTAATACCTAAAGTGATACTTGATCATCAGGATGCTCCTCACAGTGACCAAGACAACCTGACCAGATCCAGGCCAGGTATCTTGGCATAGCACAAGTTCAGCCATGGTCTCAAAAACCATTTCTACAGCATGGTACATTACTTGTTTTCATAAGGTCAGATCCAATTTTTTCTGATTGAGGGTACCTGGACATCTCTTCCCAACAACCCTCTGAATCACCAAGCCCAAAGTAGCAATATGATAACTCAGCTGGCAGTTTTCCATTCTCTGCCTCTGTTTCTTAAACCACAAGGCTGTTATCAAAACCACAGGCTCCTATCAGAGCTACCAGAAGAGCCCTTAGTCCTCAGGAAGAGGAGATACATCAGACTTAAGAGCAACCTTTTAAGTGATTATTAGAATTACACAGTTACTGGAAGCAGAAGATGATAAGTTTCATGATAACTCAATTTCAACATGATTTAACTTGCAGAGTGTCTGTCATCTATCCAAATCACAGCTGAAAAAAATCAAACATGATCAAAAAAATATGATATACAGCATAAACATCAGTGTGCCTACAAAAGAACAGCTAATGATGGTCACTTATGAAAAATGTAAGTGAACACATTAAAAAAGCATTAAACTTCTGAAACAAAACCTGCACATGTATTTGTAACATGATGTAAACAGGAGCTTCATATAGAAGCAAACACTCACTTTCTCCTGCACAGCACCTACTGAGCCTTGAATAATAGTCACAGCCTATGTCTGAGTGCTTCCTTCACCAAGGATTTCAGAGAGGTTAAACATTAACTCAGCTTCCAAACCAGCTCACAAATCATCCTTGACTGAAATGCAGTCACATTAAAAAAACAAAAAAAACCAGAAATATAGATCTTGATAATCAGCACAAAGCTGTGCTGCAAAGAAAATCCAGAAAGCACTTAAAAACAGGAGACTTCAGTTTTACCCAAAGATTCCCATAAAACAGAGCAGAATAGAGCTGAAGATTTCCAACAGTGTCCAACTGACCAGCTGGGCACTCCTTCAGTACTGCAGGGACATTTTTCCAAGCCAAGAGGAGAACAAGCCTTAATAACCTGACACATTTCACCCCTTGCCCTGCTCTGGGACCAGCTCTGTTCCCAGCTGACTGGAACTAAGGATGCACCTGAAGCTCAGGAGCTCCTGCAAACCTGCACAGAGTCAATGGATTGCCATAACAAGGTGCAGCTACAGATGTTCAGGATTCAGCTGTAGAGCTGCAAAGGAGCAGTGCTGAATTTCTGAAGTTATCCTAATGATAAACATGCAGGATTTGAGCACAGGTGGTGCCAGTCACCAAAAAACTCATGTATTTCTAGTAGGCAGCATAATATGGACCAAAACATATTAAATCAAACTCAGAGAGAGGTTGGATGGAGCAAACAATCCTTCCCACTCAAAAACACAGCAGAGTATCCCCCAGGCAGCAGCTCTGATTTTTAGCCTCCTAAATTTTAACCAGTACAGCTGGGCCAGTCTGACCTTCTTGGAATCCAAGATTTATTATGCTTAAGGGAAATATAAAGGAATCTTGCTAGTTCATAAAGAAGTCCTGACGAAACACAAAACAAATAGGTGATCGGTATGAGCTAACACAGTCACAAAAAGATAAATCAAATCTCTCTGTGCTCATGTAACTTCTCCTCCTTTGTCACAGAACAGCAAATCTGGTTTATCTACAGGAAGCCATTATTATGTTTCCTCTAAAAAAACTGTGAGCAACAATCACAGAACAACCCTTAAATCCACCATCTCTGTGCTTGTTTAGATTTCTAGTCTCCATAGAAAATACAACCATTAAAAACTATTGAATGCAACAGCTCCTTTCAGCACTATGGCCCCAGACTACAAATGGAGATTTTCCAAGTTAAGTGTCTGTAACTGAAGAGGAGGAGAGCAAGAGGAAGGGAAAGAGGATGGAGTTTGGAGGAACACAGAGGATGAAAGCCAGAGAAGGAGACATAATGGAGAAAAGTAGGAATAGAAAAGTCTAGAAGTTTTCATTACATTGAAGCAATTACCAGAGTTTGTTTATCAAGTACAGACACTGATGATGAGTCCAACAGGGAGCATAAAAACTCACACAAACTGAAACATCCAGAGCTTGCCAAATCAGACATCTCTTAATCTCAACTACTGAACAAAGCAAATACAGAAATCTTACTCCTGTGTTGTTGATAAAGAGGATTCCTCTTTAGCTCCACTGTTCTCTAGTTCTCTCAGCACCCACTCAGGCAAAGAGCCTGAGCTATTGCTCAGAAGTCCTGCTGAATTTAGTTCTTCAATGGAAGTTGCCTATAATGAGAATAAAAGCCAAATCAACAAAATATATTACACCAAGACACTCTTTACATAGTTAAAGTTGTTCCTTATAGGAATACCTGCAGTAAAAACATCCATTTTCCAAAGAACTCAGTGGCAGATGCCACATTCTCAACTCATGGAAATTCATACAACAGGCAGTGATGTAAATGTTTTCCAGTACTTTGCTTCTTTCAGTATAGGTAGTTTTAGTATAAATTAGGACTGTTACCCCCCCTAAAGCTAATGCCAAGCATTGACACAGTATATTCAAGTTTTCAGAAAACGAACTTAACAAGCTTAACAACGTCTGTGTGAATAGTCATCTCTCACAGAAACACAGAGTGCTCTAATCACCTCTGATTACTGAAGTCACCACCTTCTAGCACATTCTTCCTCTCACAAAACTACTGTTTAAGACAAAAGAAAGGCTCAAGGGCTTTTTATTACATCTTTCCAAAGAACATGAAGAAAATTACCTGTTTCTTCAAGAACACTGATTTTTATAAGCCTTCTAATCTGAATTTTGAAGAAGACAGAGGTTTCATGGGAGGTTTTGCCCATTAACAGATTTTCCCAACATCATTTTTCACATTTCGTGGCAAATCAAAAAGAGGCCAATATATTTTGAGGATATATTTAAGTGAGTTTGTCTCACACTCACCAGGTAGGAAGGTAAACTTTTCAGCAATCCTTTCTCTGGTTTTTGTGTAAAAGGTCCCTCCAGGACTCCTCGCTTCAGCATGTGGAGCAGAAGTTTCGCATACAAGTTCCGATTCTTCCTTCCCTCTACTCCCACCCCTGCTCCTGAGGGTCTGCAGAGTTTTTTAATCCACAGTGCACATAGTTCTCGTTCTGAAAACACAGATATACCTCCTCACTACACATTTTCAGAGCAAATCAGACACACTGAAAAAACAGAACATCACTGGTCATCAGTTTCATGGGTGTCTCCCTTCTACCCAAAAGTTTAAAGCAAAACAAACAAACCCAAATGACCAAAACAAATAAAAGCGGTTATAAAAACAAGTCTTTCACAATAGTTCAAATTTACATATTCAAGAAGCAGTTCCTATAAATTCATGGTCCCCAGAACCTTACATCACTTCCAGGAATTGCATGTTTGGGAATCAAGCCGTAATAAGGACAGAACATATAAATCACCAGGAATTCTGCAGTCACTGCAAGAGCTGCCATTAACTGCGACTTACAGCCTGCATGAGCATTAATACTTAAAATACACAATAAATCTTCATTCATTAAAAAATAAATCTGTATTTACAGAAGTTCTGCTACCAGATAATGAAATTACTCACTTGCTTAAATGTTCACACAGAAAGGTCTTGATTTGTAGAGTATGTGCCTTTAATAATAACCAGTTTGTTGTAAAAAAAACAAGTTTATAAAACATCATTTACTAACTGATGTCCCTATTATTACACGTTCCTAACCGCATTTTAACACTTTTATAACAAGAAAATATTTGTAATTTGTAAGGGCCATCTCAAAACCAATGCCTCTAAGAAGCTTGTCATTTCTACTGTATTATGCTTTTAAAAAGAAATGCTAATGTGTTTATGCAAAAAGCATATTCACCTGGGGACAAGACAGATAAATTCAAACAATTGCAGAAGGTATCTAAAAAAATCCACCTGTAGAAGTCGGGTGAACCATATGTCAAAACCACACCACAACAGACATAAAGTTTCTGGCTAAACTGATACAAGTACATAGATACAAAATAATAGTTGTCAGTCACTTAGAATTCTGTTATTAACCTTTAAATGCCCATTTTTACCGTATTTATCCTGTTGCTTTAGAATGTAAGGCTTCATAGCCACAATATAGCGATCCAATTCTGCATCCAGTTTTTCAGAGATTTCGTCTTCGCTGCTCATTTTGCAAGACCATCCACCGCGTTGGAGTAGAAAAAGGCCCAAATATTCACTTTACATCAGGCTCTCCTCATCCCGGGCCCCGCAGAGACATGCTTGGAACTGCGCAGCAAACAAAACGAGATGTTTTATTACGCTCAAATAAACACCAAACTGAGAGGGATTGTTTGCAAATAGCAGATACACGCGGCGGTTCACAAGAATGTGCTTGTTTGGATTCGAAACCGAACGTCCAACCACACGCCAAGTGTATTCATTGCACCCAATTTGTACAGCGCACCTCGAGGCGTTTGTGCGGTGCCGCGTTCCTAACCTGTTATTCCTTAGAATTAGAGAGGTTTGGGGTTTTTTTTAATGCAGAGGGGTGGGATAAAGGAGAAACAAGTAGAAAAAGTGGAAACCAGAAGTAAGTAGAGATACAGTTAAAAGCGGCAGAACCAGAAACGTTATCAGGGCTGGTTTTCAAGGAAGCGTCGCTGCAGGGACAAGCGCTCATCACCAACCTGTCACAGAACCACGGGATGGATGCTCGGGGCTGGCAGGGACCCAAAGGGATCATCGCGCCTTAAGTGAATCACTCTTAAGCGAATATAGGGGGATTGACCCCATAACCTCGGTGTTACCAGCGCCGGGTCTGACCAACCGAGGGTCATTTCCCAGCTGGAGCGGGGACCGTTTTTTTGTGCATTCCGCCCGCAACCCGCACGCCCCCGTGCCCGCCGCTCCCTCCCCTGCGCACAGACCCGGCCCTTCATCCCTTCATCCCCCCATCCCTGCCCCGACCCTCCCCCGGGCACCTCCCCGGCCGCTGCCCCTTTACCTCGGGAGGGCAGGGCAGGGCCGGGCCGGGCCCCCCGGACGGGGCAGGCAGGGCCGTGCCGAGGCGGCGGGTCCCGGCCCCGCTCGGGGCAGGCAGGGCCGGGCTGAGCCGGCGGCCGAACGTTCAAACCGGCCCCGCTCCCGGCGGCCCCGCGGGCCCCGCGCGTTTCCGTTTCCGCGGGTGACACGGCCGGGACAGCCCGGCCTGGAGCCCCACCCGAGACAGGGACTGGGCTAGGGAAGCTGCTGATACCCAAAAAGCGCCCGGGGGAAGAACGGCCTGGGCTTAATAAGAGTGCGTGGGAGGTGCTGGGGATGCGCGGCGGGGACGCGGTCGCAGCCCGAGCTCGTTAAGCGATCGGGCACCGATCCCCCCTGCGAGCGCTGACAGCAGCTGTGCCAGGGCACGGTCAGGGTGGAGCTCAGGGAAAGGTTCTTCCCCCAGAGGGTGGTCGGGCACTGAACAGGCTCCCCAGGGCAGTGGGCACGGCCCCAAGGCTGCCAGAGCTCCAGGAGGGTTTGGAAACTCTCGGGGACATGGTGGGACCCTTGGGATGGTCCCGTGCAGGGCCAGGAGATGGACTTGGATGATCCTTGGGGGGTCCTTTCCAGCTCAGGATGTTCTGTGATTCTGTAACATTTCTACCCCCAAACCCGTGGCTTACACTTCTTCTGCAGCCACGCTGAGAAAACCGAAAGGAAAGATCCAAAAGAAGAGAGAAAGAACCCCAAAGAATTAGAGAAATCTCCCAGGCCTTCGAGCTCTTCAGTCTCTTCTTCAGTCAACGATTGTGTGTGCAATCCCAAATAAAACCTCTGGCTGATTCATTTATTTCTCCTTCCCCAACAATCTGTCACGGGCCTTACTGCGTGTGTAGCGCCTAAAGCGCTTTTATCTCGAACGAACAAACTCTTCAGCTCTCCTAAGCTTGATTCACATGCACGTTCACATCAAACAAGAAATCCTTAAATGCAGGGTAGAAAATTGGCTGTTTTCTTTGATTCCTCAGCTAATCTTCAGCAGAAGTGATTCCGCTCGTTGGGTGATAGCTCTGACAGCTACACCGGTGCCTGCTCAGGTTGCCTTAAACCCACATTTGGAATGGCAGCAGTGCAAAAAATCAGTGATGGAATATTTCATCCGTGGTTGAATCTCATGGGTAGGTTACAAAGATGATCTATTAGCTTTAAATTCCAAATTTAAAATATGTGTCATTTAATATAACGTGGAAGATGGGACTGCTTTTCATCTGGTTTAAAACCGTGATAGGTTCTTGCAGACTACCAGGTGGCTGAACTTGCCCAATTTTTCCCCTCTGAATCATCACTTCAGATAACCAGATTTGTCAGGGAATTTTGTAGTCAATATAAAATCAATTTGTCCACATCACAGGAGACAGAGGAGAGTTTTATTAGTTGCTAGAAAATGAGAGGCTGAATGGACTGAAGAAGTGACTCTCTCCAGGCAGGTTTTCCAAGGGCAGGACATCAGCATGTTGGTCAGGTATCCAGGGAGAGGTTTGCATTTCTGTCCAGCTTTGCAAATCTGGTTTTCACCCTTGAAAAGGGATGGAATTTCTAAGCCACCCTTTTTGTTGTTATTCATTGATTTTTTTCTGTACATTTGCCCTCAGATTTGGGTATGTCCCTGTCATTCTCATCACAAAGTACTTAGAAAACCTGAATTTGCTGGAATATGGTGAAAAAGAGAAATTTCCTGAAGGAATAGCTCCAGTTTCTGGGTCTGCTTACCAAGGCAGAGCAGGGTGGCCAGAGAGGCTGAATCCTACCTGCAGTGATTTGATAACTGCATAACTTCTGTCCAAAAAAATGAAAGAAAAATAAAAGATTGAAGAAGTTACTGAGGTCTTATCTCCAGCCAAAGCTGCAGCCTGGACATGAGGAGCACTGATGTGCACTGACCCTCCTGAGGAAATCACTATGGATACACTGTTACAGAACACAGACATATGCCAGCCAGAATACAGAATACTCCCAATTTGAATTGTAAAAATATGATCATTTAAGTAAAACACATTTCAGTACTTTTTTATTCACCTCATTTTAGCATGTTCTCTTATCTCTGTAACTGTCTCAGCAGGTTGCCACAAGTAACATGAACACAGCTTAAGGCATTCTTTCAAACATCTCAAAAAAAAAAAGAGGGGGAAAATAAAAAAGAAAAAGGCAGGTTTCACTGCCTCCTACAAGCCTCTGGAACACTTGGAGTTGCAAGACATTATTTTTCAGACCTTCTGAGCAAATCTTTCATGTCTGAAAAGTTGTGATTCACAAACACCTCACTACTTCAAAGAGTTAACGGGTCACAGATTTTTTTTTTTTTTTTCCTCCCTCTTCTTGCTTCAGGAGACTGGATAATAAATTCAGCATGTGAACATTGGCTCCTAAGGGTGATCCTTTCAAGTGTTCCAGCACTGCATATCCAGTGAGGGAGCAGGGCCAGCTGACGAGCTCAGTCATTATCCTGCTGCATGGGAAAGTAGAACTGGGGAAATTTGCTTAGAAAAAAAATCTCAGTTTTCTTGAGGCAACTGTTTTCGTGCAAAATACGAGTCATTTTGGGGCCAAGCAGCCTTCTGGTGGCAGGGAATGTTACCTGTACTTCCACCAACCTCACGGGGTTTGCCGGGAAACACAAGTTAATATTAAACTGTGTTTGGTGTCTCAGCGACGTCCTGGACGTCCTGATCCCAGAGAGGGATCCACACGACATTTTAACTACATTTCCAAACTGGTTGGTTCCTGCCAGCTGCTCCATGGATGGGTTAGAAGAAATTATGGCTATCTTGGCCTGTAGTCAAATGTCATTTGAGGATCCCACTTTGACATGTTGGGAACCGAAACACAGCACACGTTGTACCGATGAAATACCCACTCCAGCTGCCAGCATGAATTTGTCTGTCTCTACATTAGAAAATTAAATTGCTGATGGGTACAAAGTATTAAATACTTAATAATAGCTGCCTCAATCTCTCCTTAACAGTAGGAAGCATAAGGACAAATTATATCAGTCATACTATTAAAATATTCATATGCAGCCTTCAAAAAAAAAAAAGATAATTAGAGTATGTTCAGAGTTGTTTAATGGCAGCTGTAGCATCTTAAAAGTAGTTTGATCTTAATGTTAAATGGTCCTTTTAAAAGTTCTACAGTAGCTTGCATGCTGTGTAACTTCCTTATGCTTTTAATCAGAGAAAAGGCTTTTGTACTGCAGAGGGAACTACATATATGACTCACTACAATTCACTATACGTGCACAACAGGTATTTCTCTATCACTTTCTAGTATGTTGAAATCATAATTACTTTTTTTCTGAATGGAAATACACACATAAGCACAAAACTTGCCGGACTGGATCATACCAGTGAGCTGCCTGTATCATAAATCAAATTAAAAGCACAATTCGCTTCAAAGCTACTTAAAGACCAGAGCTCAGTGCTGTTGCTCAATGGTGTGCAGTTCTCTTAAAAAAAAAAAAAAAAAAAAGAAGCAGTTACATTGTGTAATATTGAAACAGTGGTAAAAATTAACAGTTGTTTAAAACAACAGTTTCAGGTGAAGTCAGAATCTCAAAACCCGAAACCGTCCTAGTAACTTTTAATTAATTTTTTTAATATAAAAAAATACTTTATGTGATGTTATTGACATTTAAATCGTGGCTGGATATTTGGCTTCTAAAGTAATTTGGAAATCTCAGTCTTTCTACTTAACGTAAATTCTGGAAGATCCCAGGCTGATGACCCTCTGTCTATCCATAATTAAAGGTCCACTCCCTGTCACAGGGGAGTGTTAATGGAATCAGAACCCAGCTAATTACCCATGATTAAGGCCTTTCAGTGTAAATCAGTCCAGAGCTAAAGGATTTGATTGATGATGAGGTAATACCAAATAAGAGCACACTAGTGGCTGAAAATCACTTTATTGTAAAGCGACCGCTATTGAGGAAGTCATTTACAGTTGCATAATTTGGGAAATATCAAAGAGAAGCAGCATTGCAGGGATTTGGAAGAAGGCAGAGAACGGAGGTTAATGGCTCAAATAATGTGTCATAGCTTGTGGAAGAGGCTGGTGGGGATTGTGGGAGGGAAAAGGCTGAGGCTGCATTCCCAGAGTCTGGAGTTCACCTGGAAGTTTACACTTTTCCTCTGGTATGTGAAATGTTCTGTCTCAGTAAGGCAGAAATTTAGTACTGTATTATGTATTTCATTCATGCTTCATCTTCACATGGTTTCATGTCTGATGGGTCCTTCTTCACAAGAGTTGAGAAAAAGCCACGCTCTGTTGGAAACAAGAATTTGGGTTAAATTCTTGAAACGCGCCTGAAAACAACGTCTCACGGACCCTGTGGGGTGAGAGGTCACTCTCTGCATCACAGGAAAACATCTTGAAGAAACACACTGATTTTGTTTCTGTTTCAATGAAAGCTAAGCTACGTGCATCAGAAGCCAAGCCAAATGTGAGGAAAGATGTTTTTGTGGTGCATAATCTGTGCTTTTCCTCCACTTAAAAATGAAAATAAAACTTACAAGGAAAATTCTGTGCAAGGAATGTTGAGAAAACAAATGCAAAACATTCCCTCTTCTAACAAACATCAGTGTTGGCTGTTTATTTCTTCTAAAAGCCTGTTTGGCCCTGTGAAGCAGTTCCTTCAGCATCAATTCCTCACCACAGCTATCACCTGCTTTTTATCACTCTTGGTCCAAAGTGTGTTTCTGATCAGCATAAGGTGGGAATAATTCACCAGAATGGGAGGGAATATACCAGGTCCTCAGGGCTGCAGCAGTGCTCAGGCTCTT